CTCTGTGTGGATGCCGCTTCCGGAAGTCCATTCTGGGCCTGGGCAAAAAAAAATTAGCTACCGTTTTGGCCGAAGTGGTGCGAACTGGCTGAATCCCACCACTGGGATAGTTCCTTGTGAGTGGTAGGCAGGTGTTCTTGAGCACGCGCAGCTCCATTTGTGTGAAGGAAAGTTTCGCGTGTGAGCACAAGATGGCCATCACTCGCATGAAGGGAGCTTCGTGTGCGAGGGCAAGTGACTGCTGCTCACCCAAGGGAAGCTTTGCACATGAGGGCAAGTGGCCACCATGAGTTCAAGATGGCCACTGCTTGTGTAAGGGGAGCTCTGCATGTGCACGCAAGAAGCTGCTGCACACATGAGGGGAAGTTTGCATGAGCGGAGGCACTGGTCTGCTGCTTGCATGGCCCTGTTCTGAACAGGCTGCGGCCTGGTAATGAGGCCCGGGGGTTGGAGACCCCCGTTATAGACAATTTCCTAGGGGTTTTTTTTTTTTTTGCAGAAATAAAGTCTATACTGACTCTCCCTGGTTGATAGAAAGAAGGATAGGAAATGGGAAGGGGGAAAACCAATACTTGATGGATATTGGAGACCAGGATGAACAAATATGTTTTCAATGCTTAGAATTTAGTTTAGGCTCCCAGTCTTGATGTTCAACCAAAATCAAAGATAGATAACATGATTATAATTTTCTCAATCTCCAGGTTTCATCAGTACATGCCAAAATTCCTAATGGACTACAGAGAAACTGCAGCTCTATCAAATTCTGATTTCTTAACCACTTATGCAAAGTTATAGGATCTGATTTAAGATCAGTTCTTGATAAGATAGTGGGATTCATGCTGTCTAGATAATGGAAGATGTTAAACTACCTTACAGAACTTAAATCATCAGGGAATACACTGAAAATACATCCTCAAGGCAGCTTCAGAAGTAGCATATAAATATGTGGGTGGACATATCTGGCACTAAACCATTAACTGTATATTATAAATGATCCTTTCTTTCTCATTACTCCTTCATTGTGGCTAGAATTTAATAGAATTTTAAAAATGGTTGTATTTCAATAAACAGTTCTTGGAGAATAAAATGATCCTTATTAGATGCAGATTGTAGACCTTCACAATGTCTTCCAGTAATCTGAATCAAAATTTTGATGGCTTTTTCCACAACAAATTTAAGTTACAGAACAAATGTGATTCAAGAGTGGAGTACAGTAATAGTTAGATACTTTCCTGCAAACGCTAATATTTATCAAGGAAAATAACCCTGCTATTCTAACCCATAGGAACAAGGCTTTATAAAGGAAATGAGTATTAAGCAGTATAAAGTGGATGATTTTAGGAATAGAAGAAAGAAAGCAAAATTAATAGTTCAGTAAATGTATTAACAATAATATTAATAAAATGCCATTTAAAAAATATTCCAGGCAAGGAAGGGAAAGAATCAAATGGAAAGCGAAGAGAGAATAAACATTTTTTTGGGTTGCTTTGGCATTTATGATTCGAATACAAGCCAAGCCAAGCCAACTTTGTCAATTGACCAGGTTCATAGGCATTAAAATAGCTTGATCCAACTTGATCCCTTTGATCACTCAGTATGCCTTAGCAATAGCAATAACACTTATTCTTATATACCACTTCACAGTGCTTTACAGCCCTCTCTAAGCGGTTTACAGAGTCAGCATATTTTCCCCAGCAATCTGGGTCCCCATGTTACTGAAGAATGGAAGGCTGAGTCAACCTTGAGCCGGTCAGCATCGAACTCCTGGCAGTTGGCAGAATTAGCCTGCAATACTGCCTTCTAACCACTGGGCCACCACGGCTCATTGGTGAAACTTGTGAGCCAAATATCTGGACAGTCTGTTTTAGGATATCAAGAGAAGGATGAATTCTTGTATTGTGAAAGCTGAAGATGAAAATGCTTATGTCATCTCAAATAGTAACAGCCAAAATCTGTATGAAACCAATTTACCACGATAAAAAGAATTTGATGATTAATTGTGCTTTCTCAAAAAGATGGTGACTGGGAAATGATGAGACCACTGGGATTTATTGTATTTACTATATTTCTGTGGAACAGAGATCACCATGTGGTGTATGTGAGTTAAAAACTAAGGGTTTTGGGCAAAAAAGACCTCAACATTTTGCAGGAAAATGGTTCCTCTCTAATGAAGGCTTGTGTATATAATGGATGTTTGGGGGTTTTACAAAAAACAAGGACCTGAATGGCCGAGGTGTTTATTCCCCAAAGGGAACATCAAGAATATTATAGGCATGGTTCTTAATAGTACAATCAATCCCTTACAATAGAGCTTCAAACAAAGCTCTCAGTGATCCTCACCATTGCCATAATGGGACACTTGGGAGTTTTCATTCAACCACATTCAGAGATGTCCACAGGATGGGAACAAAAACATTACGATGGTCATCCCAACCATGTGATCAAAACTCCTTCCTTCCTTTTTTTTTTTTTACAATGTATGAAAAAAAAAGATTGGGGCTTCCATTTTGACTTTATTTGACTCCCTCCATGCAGACACCTCTAAAAACATTTCAAGAGCCACAGGTTCCCTTTTCTATGCCTTATCACTTTTGGGAAATGTTTCTCCAAAGTTGTGGCTCTAGCCCAGGTGTTGTCCAGTATATACTTGTATCTTCCTATGGGGTCTGAATGGTTTATAGATGTGCTTCAAACTGGTTTTTGTTATACAGTTCCTGTTCTGCCAAGAGGGTGTTTAGATAAAAACTCATGTATTAATAAATTTATTAATATTTTTAAGAAGAGACTGGATAGCCATTTGTCTGAAATGGTATAGGGCAATGGTGGTGAACCTATGGTACAGGTGCCAGAGGCGGCACTCAGAGCCCTCTCTGTGGGCACGTGCGCCGTCGCCCCAGTCCTAGGCCTTCAGCTGGGTTTTATAAAACCTTTTCGCTTTAGGCCTCCGCCGCCGTGTGCAAAAAAAAAAAAGGTTCAATCAATCACTCAATTTCAACTTCTTGCGGGAAAAAAAAAGATCTTGCAAAGTTGGAATTGATTGATTGAACTTTTTAGTCCCACCCAGTCTGCTGTTACCACCGCAGCCATGCCCACCCAATGGGCCACACCCACCTGGCACCCGACGATGCATAAGTGGGTTTTGGGTTGCAGTTTGGGCACTCGGTCTCTAAAAGATTCGCCATCACTGGTATAGGGTTTCTTGCTCGAGTAGGGGCTTGGACTAAAAGCCCTCCAACGTCCCTTCCAACTCTATTATTCTGTTATTCTGTCCCTTCTATTCTATTCTATTCTATTCTATTCTGTTCTGTTCTGTTCTGTTCTGTTCTGTTCTGTTCTGTTCTGTTCTGTTCTGTTCTGTTCTGTTCTACTCTGTTCTGTTCTGTTCTGTTCTATTCCATTCCGTTCCATTCCATTCTTGATTGTGATATGATTGTGATACTTATTCCATTTGAGAGGTTCAGGGCAATTGGCTGAGATACACATTGGAAAATGTTCAGTGCAAAGGCTACCCCTGAAAAGAACAATCCCTGGAAATGTATTGCTAACTGGAGAATTTATACAGTGATGGAGAGAGTGCTAGCAAGTGTATAACCGAGAGAAAAGGACTGCCTCAAGTGGAAAGGTGATTTGCGTCTCACATTTAAATTCTCTTAAGAGGAAAGGAATCTCTGGAGGGCTTTATGCATGAATGAGGCATTCTCGGTGGATATGGGTCATGCTAGTAGATATACACAGGAAGATTATTTGACTCCAATTCATGCCACTTGATATAATGTGATAAAACATTTGACATGGGAGATAAGTTCCATTTTAATCTCATGGGGAAAGGAGGACTGAACAAAGAGAATTGCGCAGTTGGAAGAGGCTTCAGTGGGAAGGAAAATGGGAATAAAGATGAGACTCAATCATAAGAGGAATTTGGAAAATTTTGGGACATGGCAGACACACAGCTTTTCAATCCAATGTAAGCAAGAAAACAGGTAAAACAAACCTGCAGAGAATCTGAAGGTGTTCAAATTGGGATGCCAGAACACAGAGGAGGGTAGAGAACTTAGAGCATGGAGAGGTAGGAGAGCAAAGACAAAGGCAGCTGTTGTACAATTTGCACAAACACATACACAAAGAAACATGCATTCCTAACAAGTGACGGGAGCAAGAATATTTAACCACCTGCCGTAAGTTGAAATGCTAGGCTATACAATTACTGCCAGGACAAAAAAAAATGTATTCTAGAGAAAAAAAGCATCAGAAAGACAAAGAAACTAAAAAATGCATGACATTCAAATAAAATCTTAGATAACCCTTTAAAATAACTGGGTGCTACGGTCCTCTTTCACAGCTGGAATCGCATCCAACCTCAAAATTAACCTTACATATTCAGATTGGAAAATGGATACAGAAACATTCCAATATTTTCAAACTAATTTTTAATCGAAAGCCATACAACTATATTCAAAATCACTATTGTATCTATTAATATTAATACTACTACTACTAATAATAATGCATGTTCACTTTTAATTTTTGAAAAAAATGGGTCGAATCATGGGTAAAGCTGCTGGTCCTTCTGCAAAAAGTTTTACTTGCAATCAGATCACAAATGCACTTTTTCTGAGTGTTTGCTTTCTCTCCCAGTTGGGAAACAAGGCTTTAAGGCTAAGAAAAATGATGGATACATTCTTACGTCAGAGTGATAAACATTGATTTAATGTGCTCTTATGTTAAAATCTAAACAGAGGGAAAGTAACTCAGAGAGGCTTGGAGAAAGGCATTAGAGCAGACAAGTAGCAGATAGGTTGAGTATCAGTCAAACAAGAAAAAAACAAAAAAAACAAACAGAAATTTCCTTCAAAATTAAAGAGAAAACAACAAAAAAGAAAAAAAGAGACTATTATCATTCATCATTTCTCTCAAAATGTGACTTATCCTCCTGTCTCATTTTGTCACATTTTGCCAGTCTCCCTCTTGTTATCTCCAAGATGGAGGGGGCATTTACTTACATCAAATAACCTTTCTATATACATCTCCTCATTGACCTTATCACGCAGAATGTCCTGAGAATGGCGAACGAAGGTCACGTAGGCGTCAGCAACATCCATCCCTGGTTTCTGTATGGAGAAAAAGAGTGAGATGGAAAGGAAATTAAAAAGGAAAAAGGGAAGGAAGAAGCATGAACGTGACAGTTGGTTTATTCAGTGGTAAGCATCCTTCACTATATTTTCCTTTCCAAGACAGTTGGTTTATTCAGTGGTAAGCATCCTTCGCTATATTCTCCTTTTTCTATTTCCCTTCACATTATGGCCTAGGGACCTATTCTAGCTGACACACTGAGACTTATTTGGGAATCAGTAAAAACTTTCTGCTGTGTGTAGCAGATAGCTAAAGCACCTAAGTATTGGCTTGCATAGTTCAAATCTTTTTTTCTGCCTCTCTCACACCTTCCTTCTCTTCCTGACCTAATTAGCACAACAACAACCCATGTGGCTTCATTGTCACCTCTTTAGAATCATCTTCTCCAAGAAAAATCCTCTCTACTCTAACATTAAAAAGGGAACCTTCAGACCTATTCTAATCTAATGTGCCAAATTCCCAAAGGTGCTTTTTCAAGAGGCAACTGGACTTTCTTGTTTTTCTTTGAAGACGTTTTGAGAATCTCCATAGACATTTAATGTGCCAAAGGTTCTTGATAATATTTATATTCAGTTTTGACTACCCAATCAAACATATATATTTAAAAAGAAAATATTGTTTGGAGTTATCGCTATATTTTATTCCCCCCCCCAATCTATTTCCTACCTGTTAAAATCAGCAAAAACATTCAAGTGATAGATATAGGTTGTCAATGTACTGTTGCTGATGGAAATGTGATACTTTACATTAGCCCAATGAAGGTAACAAACCTTTAATTCTAGCTAATTTGGGTCAGATTGTACCATAAATATATTTCCAGTGCATTTGCAATCGGAATAAGTCCGACTGAAAACAGCAAGATTGCCTTTTGAGTAAGCAAGTATAAAACTGCTCCATTCATCTCCTGCCATCCCTGTGGCGCTGCCACACACCAAAGTCCCTTAAATCTGAATTTTACAGTTTGCAAGATATGTGACGATTATGACAGTTTGTATTACGCTCACCAAAAGCTAATAAGGGAAATAATTTGGGGGGAAAAAAACAATCACTAAGTAAGTTACACGCTTTGATATAATGGAATCAAACTCATCTCAAAGGAAACCCATTAAAATGCTAAAATAAGAGTCATTATAAAGGCAGCCACACAAACCTTAAATGCTGGTGGTGCATGGGAAGTTTCTTAATAACGAGTGTCATTACTTTTATTACTGTGTTTTACTGCAGATCACAAAGTATCATTTCTCTATGAGATGTGATTGTCATCCACTGTAAATTGAAGTTAGTTAACACCCATTTCCTGGGTGAAAATTAGGAAGTTTGAGAAGCAGGAGGAAGGTGTGTGCATATCTTGGTGTGCGTGTGCGTATGCACATTTTTGCGTGTGTGTGTGTGTGTGTGTGTAAAAACAGAAATACAATTATCAAGCAAAGGGCAATGATTGGCTCTAGGATGTCAGTAACATTTTTAACACCTATTGAAACAATGACAAGGTATTAATTTAAAAAACAACAACAATGAGAACAATATACAGTACAATATGATGGTGATATTTTTTCCAAGGCAATTTTTAGCAAGCGAACTGCACTAAGGTTGTAATGCAATAAAATGGATTAGTGCTGCAACTATTTAATTCCAAACAACCAACTTTCCAGAATTAAACAGGAGGATAGTTGGTTGGTTGGTATAAGAGAGCAAAGCTTTTGACTAAATTGTAACGCCCAATTTTGGCTGCAGCGTGCTACTTTCTGCAAAGAGTTTAGTTTGTGTGTGTTGGTATGTATGTTGGTAGGGTGGGGGAGAGTTTCTCTTTAATAATATTGGCAATTCAAAAGGTGAAGTGTCAGGGCAGATGGAATGGCATAGCTAACCTAAAGATTGCTGTAAATCCAAGGAGGTAATGATAAACTGTCTAGACTCATCTTGTAGGGGAGATGGATGGTATTAAAAATAAAATAAAATTTAAAAAATCTAGCGGTGATTCTCTACTACTTTCTTCTTGTTTTATTCTTTAGAGAAAAGATTTCTGCATTTGTGCATACATCAAGGGAAGGATTTTTGATATTACAGGAAGAGAAGTCTTTATTGTCATTTTTAAAAATCTGCTGAGCTAGAAAAATGGCAATATTGGAAATGTGATTTTAATATGCTTAAGCCATGGCGTTCTGGTATTTTTCATTCTACCTTCCTTCCTTGTATGCAAAACAATTATTAATATTAGTTAATTGATAAGTTAAGATGTTTTTTCCCCCCTGCAAGATGTACCCTGCCCAGTACTATTGTATTGCAGTAGGGGAAAAAATGAGTTTGAACTAGAGGAAAATGGCTTCCTTGTAATGTTCAGTGGAGGGGCTGGGGGGTGGGTCTTTACCTTCCATCTCACATTACTTTAAAGAGTGGTTGTGAAGCTAAAATAGGATAATATCAAGAATATCTCACTGGGCTTTATGAGTGTGCAGGACATATTTTAGATGAACAAATATGTAATATTATACAATAAAAATCAACATTTAGGACAAGTGAAAATATAAAATAAAGGCATATGAAATATGTTTAACTTTTTTCCTGTCTTTTTTCCATAAAGATATATTGAAGGAACTTTTACACTCAGCCACTGTCTATATAATTTATCTTAATAAACACGGATATATGTACACACAATTTGGAAATGAAAATTTAGAGCCGGGGCTCTTATCTGTAAATCCTCAAAATCAAACGCCTGCAATTGTCTCCTGCTTTAACCATCATAATCCCCGACTCCAACTTAAACTTAATTTAACTTGCACTTTAACTTAATTTAAATGTTAATTTCAGATATGTAAAGTGCTTTGCCTGAGATCTTCGAGGACTCTTTTCATTCTAATCCAAGCTCTAAATAAAGGGCTGCAGCACTTTTTTTTTTTTAAAAAAGGAATAATAAAGTTTTTCTGTAGAAAGGTCTTCAACATGGTCTTTAATATATATATATATATATATATATATATATATATATATATATATATATATATATATATATATATATATATATATNGTGACCAAAACTGGATGCAGTATTCCAAGTGTGGCCTTACTAAGGCATTGTAAAGTGGTATTAATACTTCACGTGATCTTGATTCTATCCCTCTGTTAATGCAGCCCAGCACTGTGTTGGCTTTTTTGGCAGCTGCAGCACACTGCTGGCTCATATCTAAGTGATTGTCCACTAGGACTCCGAGATCCCTCTCACAGTTCCTACTATTGAGCAAGGTACCCCCTATACTATACCTGTACATTTGGTTTTTCTTGCCTAAATGTAGAACCTTACTTTTTTCACCATTGAATTTCATTTTGTTAGATAGCGCCCAGTGTTCAAGTGTTCAAATGTCAGGGCAGATGGAATGGCATAGCTAACCTAAAGATTGCTGTAAATCCAAGGAGGTAATGATAAACTGTCTAGACTCATCTTGTAGGGGAGATGGACGGTATTAAAAATAAAATAAAATTTAAAAAATCTAGCGGTGATTCTCTACTACTTTCTTCTTGTTTTCCTCTTTAGAGAAAATATTTCTGCATTTGTGCATACATCAAGGGAAGGATTTTTGATATTACAGGAAGAGAAGTCTTTATTGTCATTTTAAAAAATCTGCTGAGCTAGAAAAATGGCAATATTGGAAATGTGATTTTAATATGCTTAAGCCATGGCGTTCTGGTATTTTTCATTCTACCTTCCTTCCTTGTATGCAAAACAATTATTAATATTAGTTAATTGATAAGTTAAGATGTTTTTTCCCCCCTGCAAGATGTATTCCGCCCAGTACTATTGTATTGCAGCAGGGGAAAAAATGAGTTTGAACTAGAGGAAAATGGCTGCCAAACTTTGCTTCCTTGTAATGTTCAGTGGAGGGGCTGGGGGTTGTGTCTTTACCTTCCATCTCACATTACTTTAAAGAGTGGTTGTGAAGCTAAAATAGGATAATATCAAGAATATCTCACTGGGCTTTATGAGTGTGCAGGGCATATTTTAGATGAACAAATATGTAATATTATACAATAAAAATCAAATTTAGGACAAGTGAAAATATAAAATAAAGGCATATAAAATATGTTTAACTTTTTTTCCTGTCTTTTTTCCATAAAGATATATTGAAGGAACTTTTACACTCAGCCACTGTCTATATAATTTATCTTAATAAACACGGATATATGTACACACAATTTGGAAATGAAAATTTAGAGCCGGGGCTCTTATCAGTAAATCCTCAGAATCAAACGCCTGCAATTGTCTCCTGCTTTAACCATCATAATCCCCGACTCCAACTTAAACTTAATTTAACTTGCACTTTAACTTAATTTAAATGTTAATTTCAGATATGTAAAGTGCTTTGCCTGAGATCTTCGAGGACTCTTTTCATTGTAATCCAAGCTCTAAATAAAGGGCTGCAGCACTTTTTTTTTTAAAAAAAAGGAATAATAAAGTTTTTTCTGTAGAAAGGTCTTCAACATAGTCTTTAATATATATATGCCGCTGTATATATATATATACTGCTTATCTACCACTCACCATTTTCCCCTCAAAAATTATTTTTGCCTTAAAGTTAAAAGGCTGGTCAACTTTTAGGAAAATAAATATTAAAATGACAGTTAACATGTTCAAGATTGGGCTGTAAAGGAGACAGAGAGAAATTCATACTTGCATGATTCTGTCAACGTAGCTTTACAAGAAAGTAGAATTAGCTCATGTGGTTGTGATTCCTATCTGGTTTACCCTGTGTGGTTGACATCAATCTTGTAAGCATGAAAGTACACTCCTCCATACACATCTGCTTTACAGCCTGAGAAACTAGGGAAGGTCTATTCTGAGCTTCTTGCCCTATCTACTATCCATCTGTGGGCTATGCTATCTCTTGTTTTTCTGTTCCCTTGGCAGTGTCTCTTTGCCCAGGCTCCCAAGGTCTTTCTTACACACCGTTACAGTCCCCCCTTATTCACTCCCTACAATATGCTTGTTCCTCACATTTCTCTAGGCACCATTGTCTTTCTTTCCTCATTCCCCAAGTCTTTGGAGATGGCCCAGCAACTTTGAAATCAGCTCCCTCTTCTACTTTGCCTCTGGGAAAGTTGGATGGCCTATTTTATTCTACTCTTACTAAGGTAGGTAGCTTTTAGGATATATTGGCTTTGGATTGAATATAGAGTCTGCTGTATTATAGAGTGTTCCTTTCAATAGGTATGGATGTTGTGCTTATCTTGTCTTAGTTGTAAGTAAATATTTAATTTATTGGATTGGTGATTAAGTTGTGCATTAATTAATGCTTTCCTTTTGATCGGTACCAAGACTTTGCAACAGTTCAGAAATCCCTCCTCTTCCTCCTCCTCCTTCTCTTCCTCCTCCTCCTCCTCCTCCTCCTCTTCCTCCTCCTCCTCCTCCTCCTTTGTATGGAAACTTATAGCTAGGAGTTGTTTTTTGAAAATGATGGGATAGCAATGTGATTGATAAATAAATAATAATAATATAGTAATCATATAGTGGTATAATATATTAATAATAATAGTAACCGTGATAATTATTACATTGTGCAACAGTAAAACAAGCTGTTGGAACTGTTTGCTGTGGAATGTAAAACAAACATAATTCCATTTCAGCCCACTCATTCTAGCTTTGTTTGTCTACTTTAAACATCTGAGCACCTGCTCATTCTGGATTCTGATGCAGAGCTTTTATTCAATCCAAACAATGTTATGTCAGGCTTTACTGTATTTCAGAGCCTCTCCAATTACTTGGTCACTCCTGGGAGAAAGGGCACAAAACCCAAGGAAGCCTCCTGGCAAAGAACGAGGCCCATCAGATTTGTACCCAGTAATAACAATGAGAATCGATCTAGTGCCAGTTTCTCTGGTTTTGAAAGACTAATTGAGTTGCTGTTCCTTGTTAGGAACTTGAGGATTCCCACATCTGCATTCTTACCCTCTGCCTAGATTTTTACACAGTGATGTTCTTTCCATCCAAAATGAAGAATTACCTTCCTCTTTCCTTCTTTGACCTCACATGCCTTTTCCTCTATGCTGATCCCATAATTAGCCCGCCTCCATGTCAACCTTGGAAATCTTCACTACTTCAAGATGTTGAGAATGACAGTATGATCCAGCAGGAACTTCCTAGAGTCTCTGACACTGCATTAATAAACTCTGCTTACTCTGATCCCCTTTCTGAGGTCTCTGTTCAGCAAAAAGGCCAGGTTATAGCCAATTTGTACTGGTCCTTAAAAGTTATTCCACATCTCAAAGAGGAGTGATCATGTTTTGTGATCTGGGACAGATAATTTACAAAGCGACTGTGGCTATATAGTTATAATAAAAGACATTGCAAATTTTCATAATCTTTGTTCCATATTTTCACCGCATAACACTTATTTTTAACATATGTTTTATTTGACAGATAACCAGACTTTACAAAGATCACTGAGAAAGATCCAAAAAGGATCAGCTCTCATAAACTTTTGATTAAAAAGCCCCATTATCATCACTGATTAAGAGAACAGCCAATCACTGTAATCATTGTAAAGAGGCATCACTTCCATTACAAAGAGGGTGGGAGAAAAAAAAAGTGCTATATTTAAATAAAGCTTACAGGCACATCCACGTATTTGGAAGCTGCTTTCACCTAAAATAGAAACACAGCAGACATTAAAATTTGTTACTTTTACACTATAAAATAATATAGGAAAACAAATTATGGTACTTGCAGCATTGTTAGAAAATAACAAGTTACAAGTTTAATTTATATGGTAGGCACATATACACATATATATCCAACATGTGATTCCCTTTTGAAGTAAGCTGCCTTGTGCAAAGTTCAGAAATGGAGTAAGAATTTATGAATTGAAGGGATAACAGCATTAAGAGAGGAAAGGGAAATACAATTGTATCTAATTTACACCAACACCGTTTACTATACCACTCCAGATACAGGTAATCCTTGAGTTAGAATCACAATTGAGCCCAAAATTTATGTTGCTAAGTGAAACATTTGTTAAATGAGTTTTGCCCACAATTTATGACTTTTCTTGTCACATTTGTTAAGTGAATCACTGCAGTTGCAAAATTAGTAACACGGTTGTTAAGTGAATCTGGTTTCCCAGATTCTGACTTTGCTTGTCAGAAGGTTGCAAAAAGTGATCACATGACCCCAGGACACTGCAACTGTCATAAATGTGAGTCAGTCGTCAAGCATCTGAATGTAAATCACGTGACCACGGGGATGTTGCAATGGTCATAAGTGTGAAATATGGTCATAAGTCACTTTTTTTCAGTGCCATTGTAACTTCAAATGGTCACTAAGCAAATTGTTGTAAGTTGAGGACTACCTGTATTTCTACCATGGGTGCCTGCAGTGTTGAGATTTTATTGAGTTGATGAAACGTGCATTGTGACATCATAATGCAAGCTCCACCCCTCATGTACCTATATATGAAATTTTGATGCAAGTACAAAAGTTGATATAATGATACACTTTTTTCTCATTTACCCTTTTTGCCCAACCTTCCAGGACATCCATGCTTTTTATTCTTGCTAACCATCCTTGTTTCTACTATTTTTATCCACCATTGGTTGCATTCTATCCAACCAGCATTTCCCCAATCTTCCTGTTCCTCTCTCTTTCTATTCATGTACTTTCACATATTTGTTGCATAATTCAATCCTCATTAATTTTCTAGATACGATCAAACTGCCCAAGTGTAATTCTTTCATACCATTCACTTACTTTTATGATCAACCCACATCCATTCATTTTACCCTGTCTCTGTTCCAGATACAAATCTGAAGCATCTATTCTCACTGCACTCATCTTACTATTATGTTTCTCTTGACATACATCAAAATTGGCCTGTATTTTCATGCTTGTTTCTTAACTTTTGATGAAATTCCTTGCACCTATCTTTTTCTCTCTAAACATATCTTTTTCTAATCCTAATTTTTGAAGCAAACATTCTCTTTAATGCATTTTTTACAATTCTGCTATCCTTTATTTTTCCCAACACATGTTATTTTTCTAATTTCCAGTTCATATAACTGAATTTTCTCTGGGACACATACTTTTTAAAAAACTCTGTTCCAAGCAGCTCCCATTTCACCTTACAGTCTGTTACATGTATTCTGTTGGGAGATTAATCTACTTACTAATAATATGCCCACACAAGATTCATCCTTTCTTTTCCTCCAGTTGCTCACCATTGTCTTCTATATCCATTTTTCTCTCAAGCTCTTGACTTTACCAAAACATGGACTGTCAGAATCTGTCAACATCCCTTTTCCTTCCTTAATTCAATCTTACATCAGCTTAATTGTGCTTTTAGATATATATTCATACTCTCACCTGAAGAGATTTATGCTTAATTCGCATGTTCAAAACAAACTGATCTTTTTCTAAGCAGATATGTATCTGTCACTATTCTCTAGAGTCTGTAAATGGCCGGATCACTTTTTTTTTGCATTGTCTTGTTTTGTTCCGACCCATTCAACCAGGTTACGCATGAGAATAATTTCTGAATCCCATTCATTCAGAAAATTGTACATTTCCCCCCTAAAATTCATATGTGGTTCTTCCATTCACAAAAGTGCTACTTGCATCTATCAATGGATATCCACAACAACTTAGATAACACCAGTTCATACTTTCTGCAAAATGTTTTAGCCCTTTTGTTCATAATCAAAATAATATCTTCACTTCCCTGTATGTATTTATCATCTGAATCACATTTTCAGACAACCTTCACTGCATGACAAATTAGAATCTTCTGCATTCCATGGTCATTACCAGATGGGCCCCAAATGATCTTCACCCCATGGCCATCACGAGATGGGCCCCACATATATTCACCTCTGCCACCTATCACAAGTCTTAGTCAACCAAGACTTTTGTTTAATGCTTTTTAGGAAGATGTAAAGGGCTATCCTAAAATATTAGCCTTAGTCATACCTCTGCTAGATGCAGCATTTTCTACTATTGGTAAGGACTACATTGATCAGATTGGGCACATTTTGGCCAGTGTGTCACCAGTGCAACCAAAGCCAGTTTTGGTCCATGCATGTTCATTCTGTTCAATGTAGCATCTGTAATCTAGAGGCTACCTCACAAACCACAAATTATGGACAACAAACTATTGTCCATATCCCATCAATCTGAAGGCATCTGCAGTGTTTGACATATGCTCGGAATGCATTGAGAAATAAATGTTAATTAAAGAAAATGAAATTATTCACAGGGAAAAAAAAATACAAAACTGCACATGCATTAAGCATGCCTTTAAACCAATCAAAGGATACGTTAGTAAATGAAAGAACACCAATTTATTATATGGCCTTTGCAATGTTAGATGAATGATGTCCCTGTTATTTGTTATAATGGGAATCAGAGCTCCTGACAAAAGAAATACTAGGCTTTACAATATTCCAAATAGGCTTGCAAAGAAGATGTGGAGCCCTTAAGAAACATTCCAGATTGTATACAAATTTGCAGTGGATTACGTTGCCGATTTCATTTGGAAAGAACACCATCACTATTTCCTAAACGCAGGAGTTAAATAAAACTAAATCAATGCAACACGGCACAAGCGGTATCTCACTTGAGCTGAGCTGGGATTCATACCTGAGAACTGGATGCTTTTTATTTACCTCCTTATCACCCACAAAATTACGCCAAGAAACAGTATGTGAAAAACAGTTGTGAAAGAATCCTACTTGTCAGTACCACACTGGGATTTCTGTGAGCCGTGTGGCTTCAAAAAGGGCAGCTGTGATTGTGAAAATAGCAGCAGCAAAAGCATCTGTGTAGCGAGTGATGCTTTACTGGGGTTTTGCACATCAGATTCTTCCATGTGAATGCATGCCATGAGACATTCAGGACGATTATCTGGAGTAGGGGAGTGTCTGATTGTATGTGAGAATTAGTCTTGGCATGGCCAGTATCCCAGGAGCCCTGAGGTATATGGCTTCCCCCCCCCTCCATCTAATGCACCTTTCTAAAGCAAGGAGCAAAACTGCCTGTGCTAACTTGTCCATTTTTGGGGTGTGTGTGTGTCTGACAATGCCAAAAGCCTTTTCTGCTCCTTTCCCTGTTGAGTAATATATACAACTGGGCTATTTCTGCAGCTGGCATCCAAATATATATATGTGTGTGTGTGTGTGCGTGTGTGTGTGTGTGTGTGTGTAGATTTCCATGCAATTCTGAGTGAACACAGTTAACTGAACAGCTTCCAGATGGACAGAGAGGCCCTTTGATGAGGGTACCAGAATGCATCCCATCTGCAAGGCTGTGAATTTCTGAAACAAATATGCATTTAATTAGAATACATCACTGAACACCACCCTTGTTTGGGTTTTAAAATACTCACCTGCTTCTAAATATTTCTAAAACTCCAGGTAAAATTGTTTAAAGACAACACAGATGCCTGGCTCCTCTCACAGATCCACCTCTTCACGTGAGGATTACATTATCCATTCAAGTTGAAAGAATAAAGACTTCAGCCCAAGTGTGAACAAACTGACATTGTTTACAAAAACTTACTGGCATAGTGGCAAAAATTTACACAGAACTATATGTTTGCTGCTGTCGAGATTAAGCTCAGTAGTACAATTCCATTTGGGCAAAGGACAGGTTGTTGACTGCCATAATCTGCACTTTAACCTCAGATATTCATGGAAAGTCCATAGGCCAGTCTAGATGTTTGTAATTCTCTCAGTAAGTTGGATTTGCTAAACACCTCATGATTGACTTAACAAGTGCAAAAGATCATTCCAACATCCTAAAAGATCCTGCAGTCAGGATTTCCATTCACACTATTCAGCTGTTTTTCATTAATTAGCTAGTTAACATTTTGCCCTTTCCGCACCATCCAATTCGTCAGCAAAAATCATCAAACAAAATGGAAAAGAGGGCTAAGGAGAGGAGACAGGACCCAAGGAGATAAAGCTGGTGAACTTGACGAAAGTTTCTTGATCCTAAGTACAAATTAGATATCCTAGTAATAGAATGAACTAAATTATGTCATCAATGCATGTACAGTACTGTATTAGCTATTGTAGTGGTCATAAGAATGCACTGCTTATTCCTTGGTTAAAATAAAGTCAGAACATACTATAAATTGGTTAATGAATAACCATGGCCTGAAATAACAGCAAAATGAAATAAATATTTGTCATGATAAATATGGATAAAAGATAAAATACAGCAATAATTTAGTATGTGCTCCATATTCCCATGTCAATTGCCTCTACAAACTTTAAAACAACAACAATAACAACAACAACCAATCAACCGCAACTGCTTGTTTTTCTTCAACGCAAACTTTGGCTAGATGGATGGCAGTTTCCACATGCCAGGTGTTGTGTGATTTTCATTTTTTATTTTTTATTTTGGCTAGGCTGCAGCGCTTTGGGAACAATGTGATTTCTTTCCCATGAAATTTCTCAGTTTATGGCAACAATTTGTACAGCACAAAAATAAGATTGCTTGTAACCTCTCCCAAGGGTAAAATCCATTCTCTGGTTTAATTAATGTAGGAAATCATTTTTTTCCCCTCTTCAAAGAGAAAAGACTCTTCAGATTAAATGGATCCTTGGCAGGTGTCATAAGCTTGGTGTAATTCATTTTGTAGGCAAAGA